AAGCCGCGGCTCGGCCACTGGGGCCGTGTGGCTGGGACAAGTGACTGTTGCCTGCCTTCCCCCAGCAAAACGCAGGAAGCAGCACAGTGGCTGTTTGTACGCCGGAGGGGACCAGTGGAACACCCAGCGTCTGACCTGGTGGCACCCATTAGCGTTATCTGCCATCAGCCCTCGCCCTGTAACCGGTGGGCAGGGTGCTGCCAAAGGGCACGGAGCCGCGGAGGCAGGCGTGGTGGGGCGGAGGCAGGATGCAGCCCGCGCTGGGCCGGGAGTGGGGAGAAGGTACGAAAACAACCCGATTTCAAAGGGCTGGCTGTCCGCTCCGCCGTCCCACCGGGAGCCCCCGCCCAGCCCTCGGGGACCCCACAGGGATGGCAGCAGCATGGCCCCTGCGCCAGCAGGCTCCCAGCTCACGGGGGAGAGAGAGAACCCATACATCAATGCATAACATGATAGGGTTGACTTTTAGGGAAATTTGGGGGATGAGCCTCCCGGCCAGAGGGGCAAGCAAGCCAGAGGCTCTGAGGTGGGGCAGGCTTGGCGGGCTCAGGGACCACCCGGGAAGTGAACACGGAGAGTGAACAGGCAGGCGCCAGGGCGCCAGACTGTGGGCGCGCCTCCGGGCCACTGAAGGGACTTTTGTGTTTACCCGGAGGGAGAAGGACAGCCTGTGAGCGGAGGGGTTAGGTGTGTGTGTGGAGACCCCGGGACAAACAAGACCGCTGCCCCGCGCAGGCGGCAGCTGGGGCGGCGGGAGAGCTGGAGCTGGGGGGGAGGGGCAGAGTCCATGTTGGCCCTGAAGGTGAGGCCCATGGGATTTGCCGGCGGACCTGACGCATGGGGGTGGGAACTAGGTGTTCAGTGCGGCTGACACTTGACGCCAGGCCTTCGCCTCTGCACCTGGAGGAACCAACCCAGGTGTCGCTCTGAGACGGGGAACGCGGGGGGCGAGGGGAGCCCTCCGCAGCTGGAAAAAGCAGTGGACTAAGCGCCCGAGGCTGCTTCCCAAGCAGGACTCCAAGTTAAAGACGGCAGAGGGGACACGGCTTCCCTCCTGGACACGAGACTCAGTCCTGAGGCTTCTCACTGCGCACAGGGGCCAGGCGGACGAGCCCCCCGCCCCCTGGGGCCCAGCTGCAGCAGGGCCTTCCCTGGCGGCCCAGGGACACACAGTGACTCCAACATGTGCCCTGGGCTGGGCTTCCGTCATCGGTTCAAATCCGGTGGTGGCAGAGCGGTGCACTCGGTTCCGGGAGGTGGACGCAGAGGGGCCGGGGCCTGTCCTCCCTGGTCTGCCTCCGGGATACTTTCTCTCCCGCGCACAGGCGCACGCACACGGACGTGGGCATGGCAGCAAGGTCACCCGAGGCAAATGGCTATCTTTAGCTGTTTCCCAAATGTCAGTGGTGGTGAGACACTGGCCCCAGAATTCCCCCGGGACTCACGGAGACGGTATTCACGGAGAGTTCCCGAACACTGCCGGGCGCCCAGAGACACGGGGTTACGCTCCTTGGGCCACACAGTCTGAACACCTCTCTCCCAGTCCTGGGCGCTGGGGGAAAGGAGAAACGAGTCTCACTTCTTCCAGAAGCTTCTCCTGGAGACCTCAGGACACAAGGTCCTGTGTTTGGGGCTAATCCATTTGGCCGTTTGTGGGGGGAAAGCTATGGATGCACTACTAAGCTTTAATTAAACACATAACACATGAAAGCATTCTCTTTGTTTAAAAGGATAAAGTAGGGGCATTACAGATACAGTGTAAGTTTGCTTGGGCCACGCCTCCGGCCCCTTCCCTTCCTCCCCTGAGAGTCGCCGGTTTCGTCAGTCTGGTGCGCACCCTTCCACACCTTTTTCTGAGCTGTAACATGCGCTAATATTAACCCATTGAAAACACAGAGTACTGTTTTGTGGAGTTATTAAAAAAAAAAAAAAATAGCACCAAACTTTGTCAGCACTGCGTTTCTGAGACCTATCCTTGCTACAACGTAGCTATCTCGTTCCTGCTTTCTGCCTTGTGCTGAGAGGCCCATGCACCTAGGAGCTCCCCTTTATGGCCTCTGATCCAGCTGTGGTGGATTAGGGTTCGTGTCCGACACGGCCACAGCCGTGTCAGCCCTGGCAGGTCGCTGGCCTTTGCCCTGCGTCAGTGTCCTCATCTTCAGGAAGGAATAATAATAACACCGCTACCTGCGCCGATTTCACAAGGCTGTGGTCAGAACCAAATGAGAAACCAGGCGCATCCAGGACATTTCCACACGTGTGTAGCTGCCTTTGTACTTGATCACCTGGCCAGGAGGCAAACCTGACCCGACCCTGTCCCACAAGCAGGCAGCCCGAGGTCCCCCATGGGGACTCGGCCCAGCTAGGGGTGCGGCCCGGGGTCCCGGAAACTGCCCCGGGCGGCAAAGCGAGACAGCCCTACTCAACCCCGTCCGCAACCTCAGAAACGCACCTCAGCCCCACCGGAGGGGACCAGAAGGACCACGGTGACAAAGGGGCCCTCTCCGGTGGCGTGGGGGAGGTGGCTACCTCCACACGGCGGGCGGAAGTATCAACCCAAACTGTGCGACAAAGCAGAGCAGCAGCCAGCAGGGAAACAGGGAAATAACCGAGTGTGTGTGTGGCCTTTCGAACGAACACCAAGAAGCAGCGAAAAGAAACCGGGATAGACGTGTACGTTCGGACAGAGGAAGAAAAAGCTTCAGGCTCCGCCGGTGACCTGAAATCCAGCTGCAGGACATCTGTGCACAGTGCGGTTCAACGTGTACACAAAGCCCAGGTGTGAATGTGTATGGATACCTGCCCGTGACATAGCCACGGCAAAGGACGTGCGGGCGACCCCGGCGCTGCCTGAGGACCAAAACGGGGGAAACTTCCTTTTTTCCCCCCTCCATCTGAATTTTCTTTTAAAGTAGCCAAGAAACATGAAAACACAGAACTCCAAGCACAGACCTCCCATTCACGCTGCGCGGGGGCACGTGCTGCCAAAGAAAACACCAGCGGGCGGCCCCTCCCTCCGCGGGCTCCCCACCCACGCGGCCCCCCGAACGCTGGTGGCCTTCCCCCTCCGGAAGGCGCTTGGCTGGCACTCAGGGGGGCCGTCCGATGGGCTGGGCTTGCCGCCCTGCCTTCACGCCACTCGGCCCCGAACCAATCACCCTCGAGACGGTCACGCAGGATGCCGGAGGGCACTCACTGGACTGTAAGCCCAGGAACCCCGGCTCCAGGACAGCCGAGGACGGCGGCACTGTCCTCTGGAAAAGCCCAGAGCAGGAGTGGGAAATTAGGCGGCGTGTGCGTTTGCACGTGTACACACGTGTGCATGCACACACACACACACACACACACACGGGGAGCTGACATCTGGAACCTGCCCCATGACCATAGAAAGAACCCCTGAAATACGGCCAGGAGTGGCCGAGCTGACGAGCACCTTGGGGAGCTGTCAGTCCCGCCCACCCCACGCCTCCGCTGCCAGAGGCGCCCCGGCTGCGCCGCCGCCACCTGAGCGCCCACGGGCGCCGAACCCGAGGGCCCGGCGGGCACTCACGGGCGGCTCTCCCCAAGGGAAAGCCCTGACGGCTGCTTTGAAAAGCGCAACAGACAGACACAGGCCTCCTTAGCCTCCGTGGGAGAGAGAGAGAAGCAATGCTAAGTTCTGAGGTTTCACCCCACAAGTTTTCCTGCCATTCCCAGGAGGACAAAAAAAACAAAACAAAACAAAAAAAAACAGCCCGAAGAGGAACTCAGCCCCTGCTCATCAGAAGGCTCTCCACGCAGTCAGATCACAGGACTTAGCAGGACAGGATTTGAAAGCCCAATTTGCCAGTAAGAAAAGACGCCCCCGGCAAGATGACTCACTCGGACGACGCTGCCCCCCACAGCCCCCAGGAACGCCTGCTCCCGCCCGGCCCCTCCTCACAGCCGGCTGCGTCCCCAGGAGGGTCAGCCAGGTCGAGGCAGGCGGAGCCACCCACTCGCTCAGTCACTCACTCACTCACTCATTCATTCGGTTCCCAAGCCTCCCGCGCTGGGCCTGGGGCACAGCCCCAGGAAACTCACCTGAAGAAGCAGGATGGGGGCGGGGGAGGGGGAGAGGTCAGCCAGCAAGTGACAGCATCCACTCTGCCACAGCCCTGTGTCTGGCCGGGTCCTGGGCAAAGGTGAGCCCCGGTGTCCCCTCCCGCGGTGCAGGTGCTGGCTCTGCCTGCAGAGCTCCAGACTGCCTGTAGCGCAAGTGTGGGCTACGACCGCCCCAACTTCTCGATCACCCCGACTTCCCGGTCGCCCCGACTTCCCGACCGCCCCTCCTGCAGTAACTCCAGGTGCATTCAAACAGGGCCCCCAGACCCCCAGGGTGGTAGAATCAAACCGTCTGAAGGCCTCAGACACCTTAACTGGTCCCTCTGGCTAAAAGGACGGCATTGTGTGAGTAAGGTGAGGTCAGGGCAGAGCCCTCGGGCTGTGGGCTCTCTCTCCCAGGACCCTACTCACTGAACCTTGGACCTGTGCCCGCCTCTGCCGGAATCTGGGGAGAAAATCGGCTTATCCCTTCCAGCCGGAGTGCGGAGGGCGGTGCAGGGGGAAACACAGAACAGCTCTACCAAGCACCTACTAGGCCGGGGCACCCGTGGGAGTTCTCGGGAGCACATGAATGTCGGGTTTCTGCCCCCCTGGGCTCACAGGAAGCAGGCAAAGAGTGGTCCTAGAACTAGCAGACCCCCCCCCCCCACCCCAGGCGTGTGAGGCGCCGCCCCAGGGCAGGCTGGGAGGCAGAACCCTGCGCTCAGGGTCCGACCCCGGAGGGCGAGGTCAGGGTCCGGGATGGTCCGTCACTCAGGCCTCGGAAACGCTAGCCCTCAGCAAGGCCCCTAGGTGCCGCCCTTGGCTCCCAACCTCAGCCCGGTTGGCGTGGGACTGGGGAGGCGGCAGCGGCCCCTCCGGCGCGCCGCTCGCTCGGCGCCCAGGCCCTCCGGCTCCCGGCGGGCCCCCGCACTCACCTTATAGACCTGCTGCTTTATGATTGAAGGCACCGCCAGGATCATGACGGCACCCAGCACAGCGCACAGCAGCCCCGCGCAGCCCAGCGCCACGACCGCCCAGCACGCTTTGGCGCTTCTGCTCATGTCTGTGCACCCGGGTGCCCACGCGGTGCGCTCGGGGCTCCGCGCCTAAACCGGACGGGGCTGGCGACAGAGGCGGCGGCGACTCCGGGAACGCGGGCCGCAGGGCACGGCGGGCCTCGGACGGCGACAGACGGACGGCGGCACACGGCACACGGAGGAACAGCCCGGCAGGTGACCAGAGATTTTATGCGCCATCGAGGGGCCGCCGGACCGCCCCTGGGGCACCGGGCACCAGGATTCGGGCGGGAGGGGCGGGGGCGGGACCTAACGGCCAGGGCGGGGTCAGAGGCGGGGCTAGGATGGTCCGAGGGGCGGTGCAATCAGGCCCTCTCTTCCGTTTTGCGAGGGTGGTGGGGAAGCGGTGGAGGCCCGGCGTCCGGCGTCCGCGTGCCGGGGTATCAGCTGGGCCCGGGCCCCGATCCCTCCCATCCCGCCTGCCCTCCTCGCTGCCGCTTGCTTCCCGCTCGCCCCTTCCCTCCCACCTTCCTCCGTCGTCTCCCGTGGCCCCTCGCCTCCTTCCCGCTCCCGCGCGCCCTCGCCCCCCCCACTTCCCCCGCTGTGACCGGCATCGTGTTCACTCTGACTAGGAGTTTCCCAACCTGGGTCCCCCCGGGCCCTCTGCAACCTCCTCCCTCCACCACCGCCACCACCGCCACCACACACAGTCTACCGCAGCCTCCCTGTCCCTGGCACACGCCAGGGCCCCCGCGCCAGAATCTGGCGCAGCCTGGACTTGGAATCCTGTCCCCCCAGATATCTGCCCGGCCGCTTCCTTCAGGATGGCCGGGCCGCCTTATCAGCAAGGCCTCCCTGCCACCCTGCGGGAAGTCAAAGAGCGCCAGCTGCTCCCACCCGCCCCTCGGCCTTATCGCCCGCTCCACATGGGTCCCCGACTGGGATGCTGCGGGCGGCAGCTGGCCCCATGCCCTGTCCTCGCAGCTAGAACGCGGCATGGAAGGGGAGCTGGCCCACCGCGAACGGAGCCGACCAACCAGGGGCGGCCGGCGCACAGGGCCCGGGGCGATGCGCCTTGCGCACAACACCCCGCATGGCAGATAAGGGAGCGGGGAACGGGCAGAGACGTCGTCAACAAGTCTCGGTCTGTGCTCTCACAGAGAGGCCGGAGTGACGCAGGAGCCGTCTCAGAGAGTGAGCGCTCCCAGGAATGAGAAAGCAAGTGGGCGCGCGCTCCCCTGCCGACTGCCGACTTCCGCGCGGCCCGCGGCCTCCTCGGCCTGCAGCCCCCACCGGCGCGGAGTTCTGGACCCCGGATGTAGACGCATCCGCTCATTCTGTGGGTGCGGCCACTAAGGGGGCATGGGGCTCCCGCGTTACCGGGGGCTGAGCTGGCAGTGTCCCCAATCCCCGGGCAGGCAGGCCAGTCGTCCCTGCGGGCTCAGAGCAAGGCCTTCTGAAACTCTTGCTCAACCCTGGGAGGAAGCAGCTTTCACCCGGGCCTACCCTGGACGGGCGTGTGCCGGCCTGAGGCGCTGTTAGGGAGCACCTGCTGCAGGCCGGCCAGCGCCCCTGCCTGGGACTGCCTTCCCCCCGGAGCCCCAGCCTTGTCCAGGGCACCGGGAGCAGGGCCCGGCCCTGACCTAGATCCGCGCAGCCAGGCCAGCGTGGTGCGGGTCGGGGACACCGGCCAAGAAGTCCGTACTCTGGCGGCTCCCGCCCCGGGGCACGATAAGGCCTCTCCTCCCCGGGCTGCTGCTGCTGCGAGCGCCACCAGAGGGGACGGAAACTGAGAGCATGAGGACAGCTCGACTGTCACCGCTCCACACAGACGCGAAGCCATCGCTTAGCTAATTCATTCGGTAATTAATCACAGAACTCATCGATGAATGAATATCCTTCACTGAATTCCTTAAGGCGCTCAAGAGTCATCAGCTACAGGGGCTGTTTCATTGATTTATTGTTTTTTTTTTTGGGGGGGGTGACTTTTGCAGTTCTTGGGAGTTAAGTGCATCTGGGCTCTGCGCTGGCCCTGACTCCCCCCGCTTCCTGGACACCCGGGCCTCCGTCAGCAAGGGTCCACTCGCCTTGACCGCCTCGCCCAATCGAGCTCTGATTTATCACGGAGTTTTCAAGGCCCTCGTGTGCGCGGTGCTTACCCAGGACGGCCACAAGGCCACGGCAGGAGCGTCGTCACATCACGCCACGCTGTCGCCTGACGGGGGAGAGAGGCGGGGAGGGAAGGATGCGGGAGGCACGTGACCACCCGTGACCTCCAGGGGAGGAGGCGCTCCCCCGGGGCGGGGGGGCAGGGGGGCAGCCTCGGAAGGGGAAGACCTCCCCGTGTTTCTCGGAGAGCGCGGCCTTGCTGGGGGGAGGGGGAGAGGATGGGGAAGAGGAACAGAGACCGGCGACAGTAAAACACTCTGGGTGCTAGTGTCAGAGGGTGACACTCGTCCTCAGCTGCAGAGAGCGAGTGCTGGCGAAGGCGTGGGGGGCGGGGCAGGGGAGCTGGGACCCTCCCACACTGCTGGTGGGGTACGAGGTGGTTGTGGCCTCGGGGGGCGGGGGAGACCCAGCCTGCAAAACAGCCCCTCAAAAGGCAGGGCCCGGAGTTCCCAGAGGACCGGCGGGCCCGCTCCCGGGTCGGTGCAAGAGACACAGAAACTTTGTCCACACAAAAAGGGGCACATGCGTGTTCACGGCGGCAGTGGCCTGGAGGTGGCAACGACCCAAACGTCCATCCGCGGATGAACAGACAAGCAGAATAGGGAGCCTCACACAGTGGAATGCGGCCGCTCGGGCGGGGGGGGGGGGGAGAACGGGGCACTGGCCCACGCTGCCCCCCAGCGGGCCGTGAGACCATGCGGCAGGGACCCCGGACACTAAAGGCCGTTTATAGGAAACATCCCGAACAGGCGAAGCCACAGAGACGGAAAGGACACCAGCGGTTGCCGGGGGTGGGGGTGGGGGCGGGGTCAGGAGTGGTGGCTAAGGGGGCAGGGCGTCTTTGGGAGGTGATAAAAATGTTCTAAAATCGATCATGGGGCGGGGCACAACCCTGGGCAAGCACTAAGATCCACTAAATCATATGCTTTCAATGAGTGAGTTGTATGCTATATTAATTTCATGTCAACAAGGATACTATTTACAAAAAAAAACAAACCCCAAACAAACCCAATGCTTTCCTATGGCTCCTCCCTTAGAATAAAAACCAAAGCTCTAGCCCTGGCTGGAGTAGCTCAGCGGATTGAGCGCGGGCTGTGAACCAAAGTGTCGCAGGTTCGATTCCCTGCCACATACCTGGGTTGCAGGCCACAGCCCCCAGCAACCGCACATTGATGTTTCTCTCTCTTTCTGCCTCCCTTCCCTTTCTAAAAATAAATAAATAAAATCTTAAAAAAAAAAAAACAACAAAGCTCTCATCACAGCCCACAAGGCCCACCCGCACCTCCCAGACCTCAGGTGCCCCTCTGCCCCACCCCTCTGCGGGTGCTCCCCAAACCTGCACCTGTGCTCCTGCCTCAGGACCCCTGCCCCCGCTGGCCCCTCTGCCCGCCCAGCAAGGCCCAACCCCCACGCACCCACTTCCTTGAAGTCCGCACTCCAGTGTCATCTTCTCTGCAAGGACTTCCTTCCCGTGCACCCCTCCCAGTGGCGGCCACACCCACGGCACACTCCGTTTCCCTGGGCTGCCTTATTCTTCCCCGCGGCATTCACCACGACCCCACAGGCTGCAGGGGGCACGTGTGTGTGTGTGTGTGTGTGTGTGTGTGTGTGTTCCATTGTCTCCCTTCCCCTCCAGAACGGACAAACTTCCCGAGCCCAGAAATCTGTGTCCACTGCTGTGCCCCCAGCTCCCAGGACAGCGGCGGGCACAGCGTGGGTCCTTAGGCTGTAGGTGTGGCTGCCCAAGAGCTACCAGAGCCCGGGGTGAAGGGCCTGCATCTGCGGCCGGGCCCCAGGGCAGCCTTGGGTGAGCTGCGGGATCGCCCGGAGCCCCAGCACCCTCGCCCGTCCAAGGGATACTCGGCGTGTGCCTCCTGGGGATGTCCCGGGGATTGGACGGGATGACCCTGGTCACACACTCTGCAGGGTGCTGACATCCGCCGTGCGGTCTGTCCCACCCCGTCCCAGAGGGAACCAGCAGCAGCCCCGCAGGCAGCAGACGAGTTGTCGTGCCTGGAAGCGAGATGACCTGATTCAACAGTCACAGCTGGTGATTGGCGGAGGGGACATGAACCGAAGTCGGGTGGCTCCGGAGCTGGATGCAAATCACCACCCTCTCCGCGGAGGAGAAGGAACTGGGGGAGAGCCGGGGGAGAGGGGGTGAGGAGAGGGGGTAAGGTGGGGGAGAGGGGAGGCGGAGAGGAGAGGGCGGGGGAGAGGAAGGCCAACCAGGGAGAGGAAACCACCACCTCTGACCACGTCGGCCACCCGGGCCCCAGCTCGGGCGAGGGCAGACCCAGAGGCCACACTCGCTGGTTTGATTGATTCCGCTGATGCCGACTGAGCACCTACTGTGTGCGGCACCCCACACGGAGCTCTCCCAGCGGTGCGCACGGCGGAGCTCCCTGGTCGGCCGGTCTCCATGCCGGCAGACGAGCACGGACAGTCAATGGCGAACACAACCACTGGGGACTTTTATCGGTCGCACGGCAGAGCCATGCTGTGCCACCCAGCAGCCACCCGCCGGGTGTGCCTGCTGGGTGCCCACCGCAGGCGACAGGTGCTGTGTCGTGCATGCGCCTGGTTCCAAAGACTGTGTGTGAAAGGAAGGACGTGAAACATCTCAACATGTTGTGCTGATCACATGTTGACACAGGACGTGTCCGGTCAAATAAAATGCCCTACTAAAATGAACCCCGCCGGCTTCCTTTTTACTTTGTAAAACTAAAGGTTCTAAAACTAAAACTAAAGGCTACTAAAGGTTCTTCTGATGGCATCGGTGGCCCCACCGCACTCCGTCCGACAGCACCGTCGGAGGTGACGCTGGCGTCCGAGGGGGAAGTCAGAGGGCAGAGAGGGTGCCCCTGCCGGGGAGGGGGACCCCATTTAGGTGGGTGGCAGGGGGGGGCCCTCTGTGGGAAGACGGCGCCTGAGGACAGACCCCGAGGGCGGACGGGAAGGAGCCGTGCAGAGGCCGGGGAGGACGGCCGCGGGCAGGGGTGCAGCCTGTGCGAAGGCCCTGGGGCAGCAGTGTGCCCCGAGCGACCTGAGTTAAGGCCCGATGCTCGCGGGAACCCAAACGACTTCTTGCCGCTGCTGCCCTTCGGCGGGCGGGGATGCCTCCTACGGCGCCGTGACTCCCCACGGAGGTCTCCGGAGCCGCCCAGCCCACGCGGGGACTCGACCTGGCCCTTGCCAATCACGACTCCTGGACGACCGTCCCCGCCTCGTGCGTCTCCGGCCCCTTTCCTTCCCTCGGAGCCGGCAGCCGGGGGTCGCTTTTGCCCCCAGCCCCCAGGCCTTGGGCCGTCCCCTCCCCGGGAGAGCTGAGCCCCCGACCCGGCACCACGTGAGTCCGGGAGGAAGGTGCCGGGGCGTGGGAGATCTCGGCCCAGGGCTGCTTGCGAGGGAGTCACCGCTCCTTTCTGCCAAGTTGCCAGACGGCGGAGGCTTCATCTGTCCCCACAGCCCCCGGCAGCGGCAGGGGGCATGCGCCCGGGGCCCCGAGGGCACCCCGAGCTCTCCCGGCCCTGCCGCGCCTCCCCAGGGAAGAGACGGGATGCCCACTCGTGCAGCGTAACCTGCTGAGCACACACTCTGGGCCCGGCCGACTGCGTCCCCGGGGCTGGGGACAGCGTGGCCAGCCAGACAGGCAGCTGCCCTCCAGGTCGGGGGGAGACTTAGAAACAAACCAGGCAAACACAGAATCAAATAGTTCAGGACTTTAACTGGTGCTAGGTGCAGAGGAGAGGGACCCATGGAGTCAGCCTCAGAAAACCAAGAGGCGGGGGCCAGGGGGAACCTGGAGGATCAGGGCAGAGGGCAGGGGGTGGGGGGGGTGATCTGGAGGATCAGGGCAGAGGGCAGGGGGCGGGGGGCGGGGGGAGTGCGCCTCCGGCCGAATAACCGGTCCATGTAGAGGCCGGGCCCTGTGGGAAGGAGACCTGCCCGGTGCTCCAGGAGCAGATAAGCAGAGACAGCCCCCGCCCCGGGGGACCGGCCGCTCCCTCTGAGAGCATGACTGCCCCCACCTTTGAACCTCTGGCCCCCACAATGTCCTTAACGGCGCCCCTTCTGCTCTCACAGCCGGTGTCATAAGTCCTCAAGTCCCCTCTCTCTCAGGCCACGGCAGGGACTTCGGACGCCAGTCGCGTGGACGTGCAGCTGAGGAGGGACCTGGCCTGACCTGGGTTTCAAAGCAGCTTCCAGACGTTGCTGCTTCTGGAGGGCTGCCCAGCCTCGTGCCGGGCGGGACGCAGTGTCCAGACGTCCCTGCAGGGCACACCGGCGGATGCGGGCCAGCAAGGCCTCCGCGTCCGAGGCCGGCTTCGCAGTGCGCCACCGAAGTGAAGGGGTGGCCGTGGCAACCGGGGCGAATACCGGGATGACTGGAGAATCTGAAACACAGGCACATGGGGGCTTCTGGGCCTCCTTTCTCTAATGAAAAAAAAAAAAAGTATTGATTAACTGATTGATTTTTAGAGAGAGGAAGGGAGAGAGACGGCAACACCGGTTTGTTGTCCCGCTGACTCACGTGCTCACCGGTTGCCCCTTGCACGTGCCCTGACTGGGGATCGAACCGCACCCTCGACCTGTCGGGACGACACCCTAACCAACCGAGCTGCCCAGCCGGGGCCTACTTTCTCTGTTTTTGTGTCTGTTTCCACTATAGACCGAACGTCTGTGCCTGCCCCCAAATTCCTGACCCCCCCAGTGTGAGGGTGTCCGGGCCTGTGGAAGGTGACGAGGTCGTGAGGGTGGAGCCCTCCCGAGTGAGCGCGGTGCCGGTATAAAGGCACCCCAGGGAGCTCCCTTGCCCGTCCTTCCACGTGAGGCCACGGGGCCAGGAACATGCAGGAACCGGGAGTGCACTTTCACCCAACGACACGGGACCCGCCAGCACCTTGATCCCGGACTTCCAGCCGCCAGCGCTGCCAGGACTGAGCGCCGGCTGTTTACAGGCTGCCGGCAACATCTGTGACAGGATGGACGCACGGAGGCAATTAATCCCACAATGGTGTGGTTTTTTACAGTTTCCTTTTGTTGTTGTTGTTCGGATAAAAATACATCTCCTGGCCATTGTGCGGGGCTTGACAGTAAAAAGCCTGGCTCAGGTGTGAGGAGGTGTGGTTGTCGGGGAGGCCTGGGGGGTGGGGACCTGGGTGGGAGGAGCCCGGGAGAGCTGTACGTGGGGTGCAGAATCCACAGCCCCACGGATGGCTCACGGGTGAGGGGCCCAGGGGGCAAGAAGTCCCGGGTGGGCCCTATCAGGAAGGGCTGACTCCTCCAAACAAGCGTCCTAGGCTCGTACCCTGTGCCGGGCCCAGTGCTGGGCCTGGGGATCCGACGGTGGGCGGAGCAGCCGGGGTCCCGGTCTGCGCAGAGCTCATGGTCTCGAAGGAGGGGCTGACAATAAATAATCACAGAGGTCTATAATTACACACTGCATGATGTTTCAAATGAGTCCTAGGAGAGCTTGGGGGGGCAGGCACCATAGCAGGACACTCTCGTCTCCCCCTGCCTCCCCGGGCTCCTGTCGGCCCCAAGCAGGTGAGCTGGGTCGGCAGGGGGCTGCCCTCCGGCCTCCAGCGGGCTCCGGCCCAGCGCAAAGGGAGCCGGGAAAGGGGAGCCGGGAAAGGGGAGCAGGGGTAGTCGGGCCCAACCCCCAGCTTGCTGCCTTGACCCTTCCTCCGACTCCAGAAGGCTGCTAATCCTCCTCCGCTCTCCCGCCTGTGAGAACCTACTTCCCCTCCCCCGCACCGGACTGACGGCGTGACCCATTTCAGCCAACAGAGCACAGCTGAAATGACACTCTGTGGCACACGTGAGGGGGGCCGCTGGGACGTGCCGGGCGTCCTGGCATCTCAGAACCGCCCAGCGCACCCACGAAAGTGTGCGAGCCACTCCGTGTGCGGGGCGTGTCCTGCAGCCACAGGCAGTGTTCGCCCTTTCCAAGGCAGCCCCCCTCTCCGCCCCGCAGGGTCCCCTCCTGGCCCCTCCCCCCGCCGGCCTGGGGCAGCCCGGGGCTGAGACCAGCTCCAGCACCGGTTCTTCCCCACACCTTTGTAAACGGATTACCTTTGTAAACCGATCCTCCCTCCCCAGCCCTCCGCAAAGCCCCCTGCTCTGAGCCGGTCACTGCCTTGCGCCCAGCGCCTGATGCGCACGGCTGCTCGGCTGCTCGGTCTGGGTCTGGCCAGGGAGGAGACGCTCGCAGGAGAGGAAGCGGGGCCCCCTAGCAGGGTCCGGGGTGCAGCACGCAGCTGGGCAAGAGCCTTGAGGTAAGGATGCGAAGTACAGGGGTCCCCCCTTATCCGCGGCCGTGCGTCCCTAGACCCCCAGGGGATGCCCGGAACCGCGGAGAGCGCTGTGCCCTGTGCAGACTGTTTTGCACACACACACACACACACACACACACACACACACAGACCCACGGTCGAGTTTGCTGTACCAGCCAGGCACAAGGAGAGGTTAACAACAGCGCCTAATAAAAGGGAGCGACGACGACGTGCTGCAGTAAAAGTCATTGATCGTGGCCTCTGTCACACTGTGCTGAACTCACCTTTCTCCTAAAGGAAGCCCCTCTGGCGTCTCTTCGGCGCCCCCCCACCCCACTGTGCTGTGGGGGCCACCGTGAAGGACAACCAGGGCGACCTGGACCGGGTGTCGCCATGCCTCGGCGGTGCGCCTGACAACCGGCGTGGCTCTGCGGGACGGGCGGCGGGACCGCCCACAGCGCGGGGACGTGGACAAAGGGGGGGGTCCCATCCCCCGTGGGCTGAGAGGATCATGCCAGATTTCATCCCACTGCTCAGAATGGCCCCTGACTAAACACTTCTGAATCGTCGACTTCTGGAACTTTCCAGTCAATATTGTTGGACCAAGGGTGACCGCTGGTCACGGAAACCACAGAAAGTGGAAACCACAGGTATCGGGGACGACTGTGGTTAAAAACAGCACGTCTGGAGCGAGAGGACCCAGGTTCAAAGCTCCGTTCCTCCCCGTGCATGATCAGTCCCTCACGGGGCGGCCTCCGACGCCCGAGAGGTCATGGGCTGAGAACACCCCCGCACAGGGGTGTGGTGCCGCGTCAGTGCGTCTGCATCCGTGAGGCCCTCCGACTCCTGTGCCCCGCCCCCCCCGAGCCAGACGGACTGGGAGACCCCCTGGGGGAAGGAGGACTGGGGACAGCGAGGTCTGAGGCCTGGGACGGGACGGGGCGGGAGCTCCCGGAGCAGACGGGGCAGCGGGGACCAGCGATCGGCCGGGATCGCCCCGGGCACTCCCCAAAGCCCTCATCCTGAGCTCCTGGGCCCGTCTCTCTCATCCCATCCACCCCTGGACTGTTACGACAGGAATAACAATTTTTTTTAAAACTGTTACTATTCGTTGAGCACTGCGTGCCCGCGCCACCCTAGGGGGCTTCGGGTGTGTGCTCCAGCGACCCCCAGGCGGCGCTGGGAGCTGTGCGCTGGCGCCCTGCCCCCACTGCACGGGCGGGGAGACCGAGGCCCTGAAGCTGCGGCCACTTCCCGGGTGCCCTGAGACCGGGCCCTCGGCAGAGCGGGGAGTCCGGGGGGCAGGCCTTTAAAGGCCAAGCCCTCACGCCGCCGCCCACCACGGAAACACAGATCAAAGCCACGGGAGGCACCGCCTTGCTCCCGTTCGGATGGCTACTGGCAAGAAACGTAAAAAGAAGTATCGATGTGGACGCGGGGCCAATGGAGCCCCCGTGCTTGCTGGGGGGATGGAAGGTGGTGCCGTTGCTGTGGGAGACGGTAGGGGGCGCTCTCAAAAGGCGACCTCGAGCTCCCCTCGGACCCAGCAGCCCCACTTCTGGGTGTTTATCCAAAAGAACTGAACGCAGGCGCACAAACAGGCGTTCGCACGCCGCGCTCTCAGCGGCACCACGCGCGCCGCAGCCAAAACGTCCGTGGGAGAGGGCGGTGAGCGGGTGCACCGACTGTGACACCCACGTGTGTGTGCAAACGCAGTCACACCCATGGAATATTTTCATGAACACCTTTACAGCAGAAACCAAATGTCTTCTTTTTGTTTTAAAGTTGTAGAATCAAGACAAGAATGATTCTTCCCGAAAGTAATTATTTAAAGGGGGGGGGGAATGATCCTTCAGGGGTAAATGGCAGGTAGCCCGCTGGCAGGGGTGGTTCCGGGAGAGTGAAATTAAAGTTGAACCCGAGCGACCACCGACACCACCGGTCGGTCGGTCGGTCGCCTCCGCTCCCACCGCCTCTGTCCCGACCGCCGCATGTTTACCTCCCTCCGAGTCTTGGGAATACCAGGCCCCGCGCTATGATTGGCTTAGGGGCGGACATGTGACCAGGTTCCGGCCAATGAGACGTGGGGGTGGCGTGCTGGGGGACTTCTGCCGAGAAGGGGTTCCGAGGAAGAGCTGCTTCCCGCACGTCGTCTGTTGGACGTGGTCCCAGCTGGACCAGCTCCCTGGGTTGAAGTTGGCCTTCGTCCCTGCAGGAAGGGCCCGAGCGGAGAGGTGACAGGGTGGGGGCCGGGTCCTCAAGGATGTCCTTGGCCCCTGAGCCGAAGCCGCCCCCATCCTCCACCCCCCCACCCCCCACACCGGGGTGGCTTCACTGTTCGCCCCGCAGCGGGCGCTTTGCAGCACCGTGGGCCAGCAGCATCTCCGTGAGCGCAGATGTGCGGGCCTCCGGCGGCCAGCCAGCACTGGCCGTCAGCCGCTGGGGCGACTCGCTCACCAGTGCACGTGGACGGGCTGCCGTCTCTGTGTCTAGAGAATTCTGGGCGCTGGAGGTCCCGAGAGCCGTCCCCTCTGGCGCCAGGGCTTGGAGGCGAGCAGAAAGGAGCACACGGAGTGATTTCAGATCGTGTGCAGTGCCGAGACAGCAGTGAAGGAGAGTGGCTGGAGGAAGAGCAGGTGACCCCACACTCGGCGGACCCTCAGAGTCCAGAGGGCTGTGCAGCATGCCAGCCTTGTGCTGCATCCTCGGGGGTTCTCGGAGGTTCTCGGGGTCTGGGGTACAGGGGCTGGTGTGGTTTTGTAGCTCTGTGATCCTCACGTGCACGCAGGGCTGAGCGCCTCTCGTCTCCGGCTGGGCACCTCCGCGTGCTCCTCGGAGTGGCAGCGGGGCCCCTGGGGCCGTGGGAGGATACAAGCCCTGCATGGGGGGGGGGGGCGCTGCTGGTGGGGTGGGAGGGCTCCCACCAGGGCTGGAGGGCCTCCTGGCTCCTCCTCCCTGGGACTGCCTGAGGAGAGCTGGCACCCTGGAGCCCATGTCTGCGCTCAAGTGTCACCTGGCCCGGAGCAGTCGTCAGCGATGCGCGGGGACGTGTGGGGAGACAGGCCTCCTCTCCCCTTTCCCGTCCCGGCCCTGCCCCCCCACGCTGGGAAGGGAGGAAGGCCGTCAGGTGGGAAGGAGTCTATTTCAGCAAGTGTTTACTGGTCCCCAGAGACTTGGCTTGAGCTCCTGAAACAGGATCCTGCGGCACTGCCGCGGAGAGGGCCACCAGCCCGTGTCCCTTTGTGATTTACGTAACAGCAGGGCACTCAGCCACCGTGCTGCCTGTCCCCCCACTGGGCTCCCCCTCCCCGGTCATCTCATCACCAGGGTTCCTCTGGCCCCCATGTTCCTGAATCCGTTCCCGCCGCCCCCTCCCATCTGCAGCCCTGCAGCCAGCGGAACAGGGCCCCCTGCAAAGATGCGTCCCGCCCGAAGCCCCCCGCACCCGGGAGTGTGACCTGATTCTGAAACGGGGTCTTTGCAGGTGTGACCGGGGGAGGGGAGGCCAGGCTGGAGTGGGCTGGGCCCTGCATTCGGTGAGACTGGCGTCCTTCTGAGAGGAGGGGACACACAGAGACACCCAGAGGGGGGGAGGCCACGTGAGGTCGCAGGCGGGGACCGCAAGGGCGCAGCTCCGAGCCTGGGCCGCCTGGGGCCACCCGCAGCCCCGAGAGGCCCCAGACGGAGCCTGGCCCTGCGACACTTGCTTTCCTGCTGCCGGCCTCCGGGACTCTGAGAACCCAAGGTCTGCGTGAAGCCGTGTGGTTTGCGGTGTTTTGCCACAGCGGCCCCAGAAGAGGAAGCACCGCTTTCACCGTCCTACCATCGACCGGTGGTTCTCCTGGGCCGCACCTGGGAACGGCCGCACTGGGCCCCGGCCCCAGGGCACCCGACTTTACATTTCTGCCCGGTCCCCATGACACGCTGGTGCTGCTGCTCCGGGGACCACACTTTGGGAACCGCTGAAACACCCTCGTCGTGCCTTGGAGGGCAGTCCCAACCCCCTCGGGGCCTTTCACGGTCACTTCCCGCTCCCGCCCCCATCCGGGCCCCGGCAGCCCCTCCCCGCCTCCGCAGGTCTCCCTGTTCTGGGTGTCCCGTGCAGGAGGAAGCCCAGAGCTCCGACAGAGAAGCAGCCCACGTGCGCACCGCACCGCGAGGCTGCGGTGGGGCCACGGGTTCAGGCTCCTCCGGCGCTGCGCCCCAGGGGCCCATGGGAAACACCAGATCCTTGTGGGGGAAGTTCCGACAACTGAATCGGCCCACGCGGGGGCAGCCTGATTTCTGGCTTCTGGTTCTGCAGGCGAACAGAGGTCTCTGCTGTAGAGTCACTGTGGGTTGGGGTTTTTACTGACCTGCCACCAAAAGCACCTTGACTGACATCACCCCCGCACCTTCACACACACACACACACACACACACACACACACACCCCTGTGGCCACGTCTCCTCTAGCCAAGAGCCTTCACACATGCTGTTCCCTGTGCCTGGAAAGACTCCCCTCTGGATTCCTTCTCCTCGTGACTAGTTCCTACTCACCATGGCGTCTCCGTGTAAAAGTCTCATCCTGGGGCTCGTGGGAGGTCCCTCCTCCACCGTGCTGGGGGGTCCCGTGGGTGCTCACAAATGACCCCTGCACTGGAGAGAACAGAGGGTTGTGCTGGGGGGAGGAGCGGGGGTGCTGGCCGGGCCGCCCCCACACGGACTGCGTTCTGTGGGGTGCAGTCCCCCCTGTGCGCCTGCTGGACCCAGAGGGTGCTTTTCCAACATGCTCTCCAGAACAGGCCACGACATCAGTTCTCGCGATAACAGTGCAGCGAGTGCCTTTCTCTGGTCCTCTGCAGCTGGGCTTGGGGTCAATTTGTAGAAAAACAATTTTATTGCAACCTAATCCTTTTTTATATTTTTAAAAGGTTTTACTTATTTATTTTTAGAGAGGGAAGGGAGGGAGAAAGAGAGAGAGACAAACATCAATGTGCGGTTGCTGGGGGCCGTGGCCTGCAACCCAGGCATGTGCCCTGACTGGGAATCGAACCTGCGACACTTTGGTTCACAGCCCGCGCTCAATCCACTGAGCTACACCAGCCAGGGCTCAACCTAATCCTTTTAAAGGACCCATTTACACGTTGACCTAGTGCAAAATAGAGAGCTGCAATTTAAATATACAAACTAAGCCAATAAAGCCATTACGAATGATGGGTTTGGAGTCCAGTTTTTATAGTTGCATGAAAGTTTCCTGACGTTTTGTGTTTTCTCAAGATTTTCTAGAATATGAAAGTTTACTCCCACACAAGTGTTTTAAAAAAGAGGGAAAGGTTTTATCCTCCTACAAAGCAGGATGAGGGCAAA